GTACACTACGGAGCAGACGGAAAGGATTCTGCTGCGAGAGTCCACCTTCAACCTGTGGAATGATGGGAAGGATAGTCTTGCATAGAAGGTCGTAGCCTCTCCACATTAACCCATACTTTATCACATTGATGATCAATTTTCACTGCTCCTTGCAGACTTACAATCAACGTAAGATCCTGGAGTTCACCTGCCATACTGCCTTCTTCGTCAGTATTGTGATTGTGCAGTGGGCAGATCTGATCATCTGTAAGACCAGGAGAAATTCTCTCTTCACACAGGGAATGAAGTAAGTACTTGCTCTCTTGTCAACATCTCGTCGAGTTTGGGTTTCGCCTTACGGTCCCTATTCCGGGCACAGCCGCCTTTGAAATAAGTTATTCCGTGGATGACCCTAAGCATTTTTGGGAAAGATTACCTATTCTGAACACATTGATGTGATTTGTGGCGTTCACATTCTGCTCAATATACCTTGTGATGTTTATTTTGCTCTTTACTAACGTGTTTACTCTCCCCTCTATTTATCCACAGCAACTGGTTCTTGAACTTCGGTCTGGTCTTCGAGACCTGCTTAGCTGCCTTCCTCAGCTACACTCCTGGCATGTCCAATGGACTGCGCATGTACCCGCTAGCGTAAGTAGCGTATACGTATAACACGTATGATGCCAAAATCTCGTCGTTAGAAATTGCAGCTCGATTAGACAATATATTTGGTATTAACGCCACTTGAATTAACGCAAATTGATGGAGAGGTAACTTTCCAACCAATGGAATTAAACGTGATATAGTTGCTAGAGTTTCAGATTGAGGGAAATTAACGCGACTTTGACATAGAAACAACATTAGTTTGGAAAACGGAGTAACAGAAAACCGTGGCTGATATTATGCGAACATGAAGTATAAAAATCCCCGGCGCCAAAGACAAAAAAATAGAAAAAAATTGTGGAATTTATGCTGACGTAGCCATTAGAGGGAGGATTTTCACTTCGTGAAAGTACAGTGTGCGACGTATAAAGCTGTTTTGGTTATTATTTAAAACGTAGCTTTCAATAGAGGTCAGGTTGGAATTCTCGTCCTGCACAAAATGACCTATTCATGCATTTATCATCTACCAATCGGGGACGAAACATTTTATTGTGTAGCTAATGACGAGGTGACATCGATATCTTTTTGTTTTCAGTTGGCAGTGGTGGTTCCCAGCCATGCCTTTCAGTCTTGTCATCTGGATTTACGACGAGATTCGTCGTTACATTCTGCGTAGATACCCCGGATGTAAGTACCACAACATAAACGAAACTAGCCGGTTTTGTCTTACGACATCACGATAGTAATCCGGGATTTCAAAGGTTTTGCTTTTCTGGGATTGGTCTTAAATTCTCCCGCCACAGCCATTAAGATAATGACGACAAAAAGTAATAGTCCATTTTACAGTTGCATGCTTGGTTGCCAGGCCTTCGAACAGGAATGAGGCTGAGGTTGACCTTGTTGTGACACAAACGTTGCTGCTTTTCACATGTAATTTACTTTGTTATCATGCTAACTAGATACTGGTCTCTATCACAACATGGTCACCTCCAGCCTCACTCCAAATCAAAGGCTTGGTAACTATGTACACAACTGTAAAATGGCCTATTGCGACTTCGGAATAAGCGTACTCTCGCGAGTGAGACCGACTGCATATGTTTTATCCTTCTAAGGCTCCTGGTGACGTGTTATATATTATCTAGGGAGAAATTCGAAGTCTTCAAGGGAGTGGGCAAAAAACAAACAAAAACATTTGGACAACCACACAGCCAGGCAAGGAATCAACTTGCCAAACAAAACAAACTCGTAAGCAAGGAAGCCCTCAAGTAAACAAGCAAAAAAAAAAAAAAAAAAGAAAAAAAGAAAAAGAAGCAATTGCATAAACAAACAGGAAAAAGATTTAGCACACAAGCAATTGAATTAAATGGAAGGCAAATCGTTCATATTTGAGTTGGTGGGTCGTATTTTCTAAACCGAAGGAGGTAATATATCAAATGAATTAAGGGGATAAGTGTCGAAAGAAACTATGGGTGCTGCGTTGGAGGGTGAGTGTAACAAGGAGGGCGAAGGTCTAACGCTCGAAACGTCAGCTTTTAAAACTCCTTACGGTGGCCAATTTACGTTATCAACTCAGCTGATAATACTAAATTACCCTCGGGTATTAAATTAGTCAGGAATGGAATAAAAACCTCTCTGTCTATTGTTAATCACTGTCTTCATTTTGTCTTTTCAGGCTGGCTTGACCAGGAGACTTACTATTAGAATTGTTAAATCACCTGATCACCTGACATTCGATGTTACCTGATAACTGTGGACTTCAACTAACTTTGTCTCCTAAGTATGCAGAGTTGTCGATATCAGTGGCAACTTTTTCCCTTTTTAAATATCCTACCATTCTCTATGTATCAGGCTTAGAACTAAGCCTGTAGCTAGTCAAATGTGTGTGTTAAGTGTGTAGGGTTAGGTTTCTTTAGGTGTGTCTGTATTCTTAGTGGAACGATTTCTGGAAACGTAAAGTTGTAAAACGTTGAATTCAGAATTGTACCATGATTTGTGATCAGCGGTATTTTAAAATTTAATTCGTGAAACTGTATACATGTATGTGGTCTTGAAAGAGTGACGTCAGGGTGCTAATTTACAGCAACGTCCGAAGTGACCTCCGATGTAGGAAAAGGTTGTAAAAAATTTATTTTGTTAGATCGGAAGGCAGCAAAGTGGAAAACAAATCAGAAAGGAATGTGGTTAGTAAAGGATGAACCATGACGTTTCTCTTTCAATCCTCTGACCTCCATGTTCTGATTATTAATTCTCTACCCTCCATGCATTACTCTCTAAACTAGCGGAGGGAATCTGGTGTGAACGCCAGACTACACCATCCCCGTGATGAGCTTGTTTCGTCTCATCACCTGATTGGCGGATGGTATTTTAAACCAGCTAGGGGAAGTTGCAGTGTGATCAGGACTTGGGGGTTAAAGGGATACAGTTAGCGTGTTTGTACGAATTGTCCCTCAATTATTACAGATACTGAAATTACAGTCTTTATCACTCCTCTGAACGGTAGAATAGCAAGCGCTGTCCTCATTCAGTTTAATCTTGGCACAATAATTTTCTCGCGCAGCATTTTGTAGTAATTTTACGAATGTTACTCCATTAATATATTTAAAAGAATGAAACTGAGTTTTTCTTTTTTTTATTTTGTGAACTCATTGTAACGGACCGTTTGTAGTAAGACATTTTTAGATTTGGCTATCGCACTTTGTTAGAATTTATTCTACATTATGTTAAGACCTTTAAGATCGGAAACGGAGCAGTTTTCATTAGTTTGGAATTAAGCTTTAAAGCTAAGAGGCCAAAGTTGAGTAAAATCTCTGATGTACTGATAGTAGCACGGCCTTAGAACTCGTGGTTCACAGGTGTAGTGACTAAGTAAGCAACCTTTGAGGTATTTTATCAATCGACTTTCCCTAAAAAACGGATTTTGTGTTAACACCGAAACGACAGCAACGACATTGTAAGCAGCACCAACAAGAAAAACAAAACAAAAGAAATAGACGAAGTTACTGTCGTAGAGGGAAAGGCCGTGGTAACTATAGCATAAATACGACGAGGAATGCTATCTTAATGTTATGCTTAATTTTCAACATCGACTTAGTCTATCAATTGATTCGGAATCGTGCTCATTCGTTTTAGAGAAAGCGCTAGAGCAGTGGCTTCGTGGTTAAATACTTGCTAAAACTTGAATTTTGCATCTTAGGTTTCTTCGCTAACCTAACCTTCGGGCAGCTCTTAAGTTAGTAGAGTAGTTTGCTTTGCATGCATCGCAATTTGAATGATACAGTATAAATGTAACTGTTTCATTGTAAATTTAGGGAACTTTTAGATAGCAACGACGGTCAATGGCAGAGTTTTACCTGCTGATGATACGTGTCAATTTTCTTTGATTTACGTTCTAGCTTATATGAGATGGATTTGTAATCAGTTTACCGACATTAAAAATGGTAACTTATCACATCGTTTTATTTTTCTTTAATCGTTCCCTCAACGAGAGGCAAAAGTCTTGGCAAGTTCTACTATTTGAATTTTTCTCAAACTTGCATTTATCTCCCCTCTTTTCCATTGCAATGTTACCTGGCGTTACTTTAATAAATTAGTCATTCATTGCAACACAGGGGAAGAAGTGGACCTTAGGTAACTTCTCAAGGCTTTCATAATTTATTCCATAAGCAATGCTATTGGCGTAATAGGTAGCTGAATCCTGAAAGGGGCTATGAGGCGAAACTCAAACAGGAGAGCCTGCACGCAAGGCTAACCAGACAGCGGTAAGAGGTCATAAGGCAGCGGTAGATCGCCCGGGAATCGGCTTACGAGTGACAGACAGAATTTCTCCGTACAATATCGATACAACATGATGTAGAGAAGATATAAGACTTCGAACTATTGTACGGCAGACTGTAGCGAGAGTTACTAAAAAAGATCCTAGGAGAGGAAGGGTAAATACCCTTGACTTATATAGATAAAATACAAGATTCCTGGTTGTTATGTTGAGTGGAAGGTTGTGAACCGCCTACTAAGGGGAGACACGCCAACTACTTTTTTCACTCATTGTACAAATCTTCCCTCTAGGCTAAAGATCAAAGCGAGAGGTTTAGACAAAATCTGGATTAAGATAACCTTGGGTTAGTGTGAAATCTGGTTTCAGATCTTAAAGCTCTCAAAGAAAATTCAGTACAATTTTCTTTTTCCAAAATTTGATTATTGGATGCTCTAAAAAGAAAAGAGAAAATTATCCCAAAAAGGCTTTTGAACAAAGAAATCCTGATTTAAATTTAATCCTGGGTTAACGCCGATCGACCTCCGAACAACTGGGCCCTGGCTGGCTCTTGCTGTTTCAGGCAGTGCATTGTTGTATCACGATACATACAGAGTTCCTCTTGGCCACACACACGACCATATAACTATCCGTAGTCAATACACAGAAAAACATTAAAAAATGCTCATTTTATTGCTTATGTATGTAATGACTAATTTTGTATGGACGGAGTAAATAATTACCAATGTGGATTGTCAAAAATATCTTCTCCCTTCGAAAAGCACAACCTCCTTTCGATTTCAAAGAATTGTTCAACTCAGCAATATTTCCAATTTCATTCAGTCACGAGGGAGGAAAGTACGAAAAATCCTTGAATTTTCAAAACTCGTTTTGGCAAATTAAAAACGGCTACAAGCATTTGGATAGTACTATAATCATTGCAACATGCCTTTGTAATATTCAAGGCAGATAAATTCACTCTGAAACATTATTCATAAGCGCAAGAGGCATTTAGCTAACAGTCTTTCGTGATCCAATTCGCTTTCAACGTGATTCAATTCGATCTCAATTCATCTGCACGCAACTTACAGCATCACACTCGCTTAGGTTTTCATCAATAGTAAGTTTCTTGTTCCAGCCAACCTAAAGAAAACAAGGTAAGTCGGCCCAAGTGGTTAGTTTTTTTTTTTTTGCATAGATCAACAATGTCAGACAAAAGGTTTTTGGACACTCTCCCACAAGTGGCAAGATTGAAGTTTAATTCTACTTAAGACTGGACTACCGTTTTTTATCACAATTCCTCCCGCTCCACTCTTCTCAATTCCAATTCCAATCACATGTTAATCAACACAATCAGTGCTATATCCACAAAACGACAACATCGTGATTAGGGGAGGGGAGGGGAGGGCGGATAAACCTCTTCACTGAAAAAAAGAAAAGATGCTTTGAAGACTTTGTCTACGATTTCAGAATGCAAGTCGCAACACCCAAGCCTGACTGTAACTGCAGACAAATTTCCTAAACAAAAGATGGTGATAATAATGATGATGATGATGAAAGGAAAAGAAATAAAAAAATCTCTTATCGATTTTAATACAAAGTAAAGCGCCTACGAAGTGCGTTTTGTTCACCACCACCTCCCTGACCTCGCTCTGATAACGAGGGAAAGGAGAATGTGGGCAGACCAGGCCAGAAAAAAAAAACACTGAAAACAAGTTTACTTCTCTATTTTTCAATTTCTTTTGATTGACCAAAGCGAAATTACTTACATCCCGGATGTCTTCTGATGATATATCTACGACATTCATCGTACACAAAGATCAAAAGGCTGAAAGGAATGGCCGGGAACCACCATTGAGCCCTGTAGAAGAAAGCAAAGATAATACACAATATGCAAACTATTTGAATAAACTGTAAATAGTTTTAAACCTAAGAGTGACAGTTAATCGTTAAGTCTAATCGTCCTTATGAGACTAGTTTTTGGGAAGACTGTTGCCGGGAAGAGTGATTAGAGTTTCGGAAACCTTAGCAGAAGTCATCATAATGCCCGGTTTTCATATGTCGGAAAAATTCCACACGAACGGTTATTTCGCTGTTTCCCGACCGTTTCAGATTGTTTCAACAAATGAAAACTGGATATCGTAGAGATTCCGGACTGTCTGGAGAATGGTCGGCGACAAGTTGGGAAAATCGCGAAAGTTTCTAGTCTCCTCGATGATCGGCGATCATTAACGATATACGACAACTTCAATTTTCATTGTTAGAGACGTTAGCGATAGTTTCAGCTCGCTACCAGTCCTCTTGTTGCCTAGTCTACATTACTCCTATCCGCGAGATGGCGTGCGAAAGAATCTGGAACGGTCGGGAAAAAATGAAATTGCTGATCGTCTGTGATTTTCCCGGCATATAAAAACCAGGCTTTAAGTCTTAAAGACTACGTCTTGTGAATGCCACCGACAATAGTGCTTCTCAGGACTACACTGACCCAGGTAATCAGACTAAACGATCAACTACTTGGTTTAACTCTGCACAACTTTTAACCCGAGACCAAAATGTGCTCATTACGGTCTGTGTTAATTGGATTAGGCTCCTCTTCACAAAAGTTGACGACGACAAGCACCATCCACATCAAGAACACAATCAACTGGAAAACTAATTTTACATTGGATCCTTAAGGTATGAACCAGTATTGTGATTGTTCTATTGTCATCATTTGGTTTTGGTTGTACGAGACTCTATCTACGGGCGCTCTATGCGACAGAGTGTACTTACAGTAATGGGTACATCCGCAGACCAGTAGACAGACCAGGAGTGTAGCACAGCAGTACAGCGAGGGCAGTTTCAAAGACCAGGCCAAAGTTCAGGGCTTTGTTACTGGTGCAAAAAGGTATAAACAAAAATTAAAACTTGACATAAATGATGATTAAAAAATAAATCCGGCGGACTGGTCCCATTTGAAAGCGAAGCCCGACTCATCACGCGTAGAAATCGAGAGTGCATAATCTAGTCATTTTACAATAAATCCATGAGTCGTTCCAAATTACACAAGACAGGCTCATACCGTTTCCCATTTTTTTTACAACCACAGACTGTAGGGCTACTCTCTTCACTTACAATCTATCACGGAATAGTTGGCGAGTAGCGTAACCAATCAGATTGAAGCATTGTGATAGAGTGCGAATAGATATGTTAACATTGTTCTATATCCGTTTGTTAAAGAAATATTGTAGGAAAAAAAAAACGACAAAAACGAAAAAAACATACCATACATGTCAACTTACGTCATCTTCTGCTTAATAATGGAATTCTTTCGAGTTTTACAGATGATCAGATCAGCCCACTGTACCACTACAATGCTGACAAAGAAAGCTGTGTGACATGTGTACTCCAAAATCTTCCTCTGGCTGTACGTCTACAGGAAAAACAATGTTAAAAGCTAAGAGCTCATGGGTTAAAAGAATAGAAATCCTCGTATATAAAGTAAGTGTGATGTGTTAAACATGTGGAAAAGTTTCTAAAACATAAAACTGATTAAGTGTGTGCGTAAGATTTAGAAAATCGAAATGGCCTTGTTGTCTAGAAAGGTAGGGAGCAAACGTGGCATATTTTCTCAACATCAAACTTCAATCTCAAATCTTCTATAGTGAACTTGGCTCGTTAGGGTTGAACAAGTCCGAGACATAAGAGACATAGGCTGCAAGATCACAATAGGAAACTGTATATTTGGGACAGAACAGTTTTGGCTAAATAACTCCTTATTATCATATAACATTTTTCGGCTTGACGGGTTACCACTATTTTCTATGAAAATGGGGCTTCGCTGCGCACGCGCTGTGAGCTCCGCTATAGCTAGAAACTGCACAAGAGTCGGTGAATCGAGATGGCTCACCCATTCCTGTCCATAGCTGTCAGGTACGCTGTGATTATCTCTGTCTTCCCATTCCGATCGAATACCAAACAGGCGAGTTGGAAAGAAACCATTTTCAGTCATAATGACGAAATACGTGAAGAAGCCTCCCAAAGCCTAAAGACAATAAAATAATTGTAAACAGATAAACACTTATACCAAGACAGGTAACTCGACGAACTAACTTAAATTAACGGGACACGAATTTTCCTCTGTGTTGCTTTTAGATGGAACTGCAGCAAGATGAACCAGTAATTCCAAAATGCAACGACACACTTGTCCTCTGTGATTCAATTTCTTTCCAGCATGAAACGAAAAAGAGTGCAGGTACTAGCGAGTCACTTTGGGGAAAAAAGTTACCTGTTCTTTTCTGAAACCCACTTTTGCAGACTCTAAAAGAGCGAACAGCACTAGTAGAGAGTACTTTCCTCGCGAACACAGCGCAATTAAAGGACAATTAATATTTCGATAAAGACGTGGTTCAAATGAGGCGTAGCTGCAGATATGTTGGTCTGCAGAATGACTAATTTACACCGTTTTGTTAGAATTTGGTACTTCACTTACCTGAATGAAACCAATTTGTCCATAAGTCATGGCAATTAGCCTGGAAAGAGAGAGTTGATATTAGAATCGTGCTGAAAAAATTCCGCTCGGTATTACCCAACAAAGGTTCAACAGAACAGTGCATAGATATCAACAAGCACTCTTGCTCTAAGAGGAAAATGTAATGTTTATCTTTTGGGGATTAAATGATACTCCAACTTCTCATTGCGCAGTCTACCTGGGATAACTCAAGAAAGTTCAGTTAATTTTCAACATTTTTGCTATTATGGGTTAGTGACTCCGCAATTTGATTTATTGTCTTGAAAATGGTATTAAACAAAAGACCAACCATTTATCAACAAGATTTGATCATTTATTTTAAAGGTTACCATAACGACACTGCCACCTTTATAAAAACACCTTAATTTTTCACCTTCGCGTGTTTGCAACCGAGAAACCCGGTAATTTTCAGCCAATGATATATAATCATATCAAGATTCATCTTCTGTGGATTATGTTTAGAACCACCTTTATCTTGGGTGGTTCTGAACATCATACCTTTCATTAACAAGTTTGTCATGTAAGGGATCACGAGGCTTCCTCTTCATGATATCGCTCTCCGCTTTCTCATACGCCAAAGAAATGGCAGGAACCTGAGAATTAAAAAGGAAAAAAAAATTATAGTAATAATAATAATAATAATATTAATAATAATAATAATAATCATAATATCATATTAAGCTTGATTTCTTACATATGTCTACGATGTTATTCGCTGGAGCCTGCTGTACTTACCATATCAGTACCCAAGTCAATACAAAGAATTGTAATAATGCCCAGAGGTTGTGGAATGCCGATTATGATGAACATCAAGAATGGAGTGATCTCAGGAATGTTACTGGTCAGAGTGTAGGCGATGGACTTCTTCAAGTTGTCAAAGATCAAACGACCTAGAGAGGGAAAGATGAAACACGCAGGTCTATGGTTTTTCTATTCTAAAAACAAAAAATACCCAAGGAAAACACAAAGTTCAATGTAAATTACAATAACACAACTTTATTCAGTTAGGAATTAACCTCGTCTGTTGTATCAGAAGGAAGGCAGCATGGTTTTCTCATCAGTTTTCAGGTGAGAAAGTCCATGAAAGTTCATCATAAACAGACTACTTCCTACTTTTAATTCGATTGGCAAGTAAGGTTAAGTCTGTACTCAAGGAATTTCATAAGGCTTTCCTAGTAATTTAACAGTGCCTTTTTATAATCCTATGTATAGAGTCAAGTGTTTTGCCCATGAACGAGGACAAATCTCAGCATTTGGAACATTTATAACTAATTTGAAACTTGCACTTTCAACAAACTTGTGCTTATCCCACCTTCTTCAACCCCAGTAACAATGGAGGCAAAATTGTCATCCAACAGAATCATATCAGCCGCCTGTTTGGACACATCTGAGCCTGCGATACCCATAGCAACACCTAGACAGACAAAAAAAGTGTTAGGCTTTAAACAAAAATGCTGAAGTGAAGGGACGGAGCTGAGAGGGGGGGGAGGGGGTGGGTTGGGGACCGTATCACGCTGATAATATAACCCTAGACACGACACTCTATTAATAAGGACAAACACAGAGCAATCATAAATGTCACGTCCGAGCGCCATATAATCTGAAATTTGCTTCACTCACCCAAAATTGTTGACTCTGACTTTCCACCTTCTCGACCTGCATGCAATTTTGTTTGGGTACATTTTACAGTGACTAACTACTACACAACAACACCTCCTCAGAATTTTGGACTATTTTTCGTTATCCTCGGCATTTCAACGACCACATTCTTCAGTCGTAAGGCAAGTCATTTAAGTGACAACTTACAACTTTAACGTACTCAGAAACTTGGAAGTTTTTTGCATGTAGAAAATTACCTATGTCAGCTTTCTTCAAAGCTGGAGAATCATTAACACCATCTCCTGTCACAGCAACAATGGCCCCCTGTCGCTGGCAGCCTTCTACGATGATCAGTTTCTGCTGCGGGGAAGTCCTGGCGAATACAATTTCAGTGTGGTACTTCAAGATATCATCTAGCTGTTCACTTGAGACATCCTAACAATGAAACAGCAATTAAGAGAACTATAGATTAGCACTGAATGTGCACAACAACTTGTGATGAGGTGCAAGATATCGTGCATGCTGAATCCCTTTGTTCAAGCTAAAATATGATTTTTTTCAAACGCAGTACAGATGAGGTTATGAAATATTGGTCCGTGCGATGAAGTAGGTGGAAAACTAAGCGCTTTCACACGAGTGCGTCATTGCCCGCGGGGAAGTATGGGACCTTGAACAAATGGGAACTGACGAGGGGTCTGTGAGGGATTTTATGCCAGACATCCGGGAAACCTCGACGCGACTCGTCTCAAATCTTCCCGCGGGCGGAGATACGCTTGTACTAACGGCCTTCTGACAAGCTAACGGTAAACAGCAGATGGTAAAAATTGAACTTATGGCCGTCTGCTTTCAGCTGTTTGGCCTCTATAATGAAAACAATTGCATTAACCGGGAACTAGATATCTATCTACGTTTTTCCTTATTTCACAGGGTTTCTATAAACGTTAACCTTGAACTCATTTATATTAATGGAGTCACATTCAACAGGAAAACATATTGAGACCTCAATTAGCACAACAGCAACAACAACGAAATCAACAACAGTAACACTAATTGCTACCTTGAGCTGTCCTCCGTGAACTACGATGGCTTTGGCATCTCGCGGATTAACATCAGCCACAGGGACACCCAGCCTCTCGGCGATGTCCTCCACAGTTTCAGTTTCTGTAGAATGGTTCAAAGGAAAGTTTGTTAATTTTCTTTCCTAAGATAATAACACTCGAATCCAAGCGTTTCGAGCCAATTTTGAGGACTAAGGACTACCGCGACCTTTAGGCTTTCCATATACCTTCAGATATGATTCCTACGCCTCTTGCGATGGCCTTGGCTGTGATTGGGTGATCACCTGTTACCATGATGACTTTGATTCCTGCACTGCGGCATTTGCTGA